CCAGTATTTCTTATGTCAGAGTCTGATGCCTTCCAAGATAGCCAGCCATCCCCTTCTCTTCCCAAGCTGTATGCTCTGGGAAAAATCTCAACAAAGAACCCAAACAGTTACTTTCCTCACTGGGAGGGCAGATGTGAGGATCAAACACCCTCCCATGTCACAATTCATTTCTTTAGGAGCCTCCAAGAATCTGCTAGAAAAGGCAAATGGTGTGCATGGGGGTGGGTGGGAAGTAGGGGGAGATGGATTGGCCGTAGAGAAGGAGAGCTTTGGTTCTGGTCTTTCAAGACTAGTCTTCTCTTGTCCCCAAACCTCCATGCCTGGGAACCACTCACTACTTCTTTTTTTTCTTGCCAACTGGAAGAACATGGAAATTTAGGTCTGTGAGAATACGTGGGAGAAAATAAGATATAAAGTAAACAGTGGTTATTTTTCTGTGTTAATTGAAACTCTCTCTTCTATACCTGATAGGGGGAAAATCTATCGACCACAAAGGGTCTCTGTAGTAGACAAAGGACCCACTCACCACATCATCCTAGGGTAGCCCATGAATTGTACTGGGTGAGTTTTGAGGAATATAGACCATATTCCTTTCTTGCCTGGGTAACATTCCAATAGAGTCTGGATTAGGCAAACATACATAAGCTTTCAACAGATTTATTTGTAAAAACACCTCATGATTTTTCTTTGCTATTTAGAAATCTAAATACCTTTGGGGAAGGAATTATTAGACCCAGGATAGGCTAAAAGAAAAGCTCACATAGATTCCACCAACAGAAAAGAAGATACAGGATAATGATTTTATGAAAATCCTAAGGCTCCCATGGTCTCATTCATTCTAAAGAGCTCAAAGGGGCTAAAATTTTTCCAGAGACCTAGATGTTTTGATAAGAAATGTTTTTCATGAAAAATCTATAAGGAAATAGAATACAGAAATATTATATGGCCATATTTTTTATGAAAGACATTTTCCCTTATTTTTTAATATAAGTTGAAGCTATAGGAGAAGAATACAGTCTTTCTACTACAGTGCTTTCATCTTTAAATGATATTAATTAAAAGCCTAAAGTTAACAATCCCAGGCTATATTGTCTTTTTCTATTAGCCTGTTTGCTAAGAAATTCCAAACTGTGGTCAGATTTCGTTTTTATCCACATGAGCAACCTAACAGTTTAGTCAGATCAACCTCCTTCAGTGAATGGGAAAGAGCAAGAAAATTGCAAATAGCAAGTCTTGGAATTCCTGAGAGTTAATTTAACCAGGTGAATTTGCCAGTCCAGGGATAGGAGTTGCATGAATTCCCCACTTCCATCAAGAACTAAGTCCGAATCCTGGAGTCCCTGGAGACCGTTACTGTGACCTCAAGGACTGTGGCTACGAACCTGAAGTTAACAAACCATTTGTCTTCTCCTGCTAACTTAAGCCATATCTATCACCTCTGTGTTTGATTTTTTTTTTTAACCCTGGTGCTTTTACTTCTGTTTCTGCCAAACTTTAGACTACTGTGGGGAAATAAATAAAACTGGGAGAGGGACAAACAGACTGTGAAAAACTAAACATACCCTTGAGAATGCTATTTATGTAGAGAACAGCAGCAATTAAGGGCGCACTGTTGGAAAATATGGATATATGTACATCTGTACATGTATATAGTGTATAATATGTATGTATATGTTATTGCTCATATGCAGAAATCTATCCATTGGCAGGCAGCCCAGGTGGGTCAATTTTTTCTACTGGAAAACCATTTAAGATCATTCAAAACCGTTAGGGATAATACATGGAGAAGTCTAGTCACATGGGAATTAATTTGATGTCTTTTGAAGTCCGCATGGCCAATCAAGCAAATTATGAAACACATTGGGACCATTATTTATGTGATTCTGTTTACTCAGAATTCTATATTTGAGTTCTTTAGTGTGTGTGTGTGTGTGTGTGTGTGTGTGTGTGTGTGTGTGTGTGGTTTTTTTTTTTGTTTTTGTTGTTGTTTTGATTTTGAGACAGGGTCCCTTTGTGTAGTCCCTGGCTGTCCTGGAGATCACTCTGTCAACCAGGCTGGCCAGAGATCTGCCTGCCTCTGCCTCCCAAGTGCTGAGATTAAAGGCATGTGCCATCATGCCTGGCCTACATCTTTGAATTTTAATACCTGATTTGCAAACTGTGCCCACATTTCTTGGTTTTGAGTGATCCCTTCCCCCAAAGTCTTATGAGAATTTGTGGTGGGCTCCTCTGGCCATTCAGATAAAAGGCCTTATCCATAAGTGGACAGGTTTCCCCATAGGGACCATTACACATATACATATAATACATACTTCCATCAGGCTTGTAACAATTGATTCAAAATCACTCCACAGTATTGGTAAATAGCTCTATATTTTCAAGGTGCAGAAGACTTCCACAGCCTTAATTAGTTCAGTGTCTTGCTGTCTGCCTTAAGTGTATCTTCTGGGGTTTTGGGTTTTGGTTGTTTTGTTATTTTAAATTTCCCAGCAGTTGTTCATTTTGTATGCACACAATGTTGTTTTGTAAAGGTAGGTTGTAAATATTTTATTTGTAAGTTAGAATCACTCATGTGTAATGTTGTAAAGTGCTGACCTGCTGTCTTGTTATTATTACTGCAGTAAATGTTATAAGTTGTGGATGAAGTTTCAAAATGTACATTTCATATGTTATGCATTCCTATAAATATAATATACTGAAGATACTATTTTTAGTCGCCTGCCCCCCTTAAAAATGTTATAACATTTATTTGTATGTGTGTGCGCGTGTGTGTTTGAGTCACAGTGTGTGTGCAAGAAGGCAATCTGTAGGAGCTCTACCATGTGAGTCCAGGAGATTGAACTCAGGTCATCAGGCTAGGTAGCAAGTCCCTTCACCCACTGAGCCAACTCACTGGCCCTTGTCTTTTTTTTTTCTAACTAAAACTCCTGTCCTCCCACCCACCCACCCCCACCCTTGCACCACCACCCCTGAGTACCTTTCTTCCTCTCTTCCTCCCAAATATTTGAAAGCATTTGGCAAGCTTAAAAAAAAAAAACCAGCAGGGCAGTGGCAGTGGTGCATGTCTTTAATCCCAGCACTCAGGAGGCAGAGGCAGGCAGATCTCTGTGAGTTGGAGGGCAGCCTGGTCTACAGAGCGAGATCCAGGACAGGCACCAAAACTACATGGAGAAACCCTGTCTCGAAAAAAAAAAAAAATCCCATTAGTGGTCCAGCAAGATGGTCCAACACATAATAGCGCTTGTTGTGAAGCCTGGGGCCCTGAGTTTGATCCACAGGACTGCGTAGTGAAAGGAGAGAAGTGACTCCCACTGGATCTCACAGGTTTGTGCATCCTGGTAGCAGTCCAGCCATCTGGGAGAACCTATACAGGCATGATCAAGCCTTCAAAGACTGCAGGTGCTGCACAGGTAGGAATGAGATGGATCTATAGTTCCCTGTCCATTAGCAGCATCCAGAGATGAAGGTTGTTTTGATCTGGCAATAAGAACAAAATGTTTTAGCATTTGAATTCTATTTAACCAAGGCTTTATTGCACTTACTAGTAATCAGAGACAACTGTCAAAACTATGAGTTTTACTGGATGTGGTGGTGAATGCTGTTAATTTAAGCACTCGGGAGGTGGAGGCAGATGGACCTCTGTGAGTCTGAGGGTAGTCTGGTCTACATAGTAAAGTCTAGGCCAGCCAGAGCTACACAGGGAAACCGTTCAAACACAAAACAAACAGGGATATATGGGTTTTTCACACTGGAAGTTCAGCAAACTCTCCTTAGAGAAAACAAAGAATACAGAAATTAAATCCCAGAATCAGTTTGATAAGTAGCATTGATTTGTTTTTTTTAGTCTCTCTCTCTCTCTCTCTCTCTCTCTCTCTCTCTCTCTCTCTCTCTCTCTCTCTCTCTATCTATCTCTCTCTCTCTGTTTTTCAAGATAGGGTTTCTCTGTGTTACAGCTCTGGCTGTCCTGGAACTCACTTTGTCGACCAGGCTGGCCTCAAAATCACAGAGATCTGCCTGCCTCTGCCTCCCCAGTGCTGGGATTAAAGGCGTGTGCCACTTCTGCTTGGGACGGGGGTGGTATTTTCTTTAAAATAAGACAAATACAACCTTAAGGGATTTTTATATTATTATTATTATATGTATTATTATTGACATAGTCTCACTAATGACCAAGGCCAGCCTTCAACTTGCAATCTTTCTGTCTTTCTTTCTTCTTCTTTTTTTTTTTTTTCCCGAGACAGGGTTTCTCTCTGTAGTTTTGGTGCCTGTCCTGGATCTCGCTCTGTAGACCAGGCTGGCCTCGAACTCACAGAGATCCGCCTGGCTCTGCCTCCTGAGCGCTGGGATTAAAGGCGTGCGTCACCGCCACCTGGCCCAATTTGCAATCTTTCTGCTTCAGGTTCCTAAGTAGCTAGGGCTACAGGTCTGCACCACCGGAGCCAGCTAAGGGATTTGTAAACCAGATATGCTTGGGTTTTCGAACTGCCCAACATTATTCTTCCAGATAGCCTGACACTGTCAGTTAATTCTCCCTAACTCCCCTCCCACCCTTCTTCATCCTCAGCACTTCAGATGGCGTTAAGGGAAATAAGCACGTTTCTCTGCCAGCACCAGAGTGTACAAAGACCTGCTTTAGATTTCTATATGCAAATTCCTGTGAAACTCTCCCACGCCCGCTGCTGTGAAGTTAATTCAAGAAGGGAGTCACAAGCCCGGTCTTAGAGAACTTTTAAGTGGAGAAACCCTGGAAGAGTTTAGGGAAGTGGTGGCTAACGGGCGATAAGATAATTACCATGATAAGATAATCATGGTGTGAGGATTACTCCCGGAAGCGCTAAGCTTCAAACACCAAACCGAACAAACAAAACACGAGCAGGGCCTAGAGACTCCCTTGGGATAAACTGAGCATCCATCCAGAGGTTTTCAAGCCCAGCGCGCCAAGCAGGAAGCCTAAGCCCAGACCCCCGCGGTCCAGGCCGGAAGGGGAGGCGGAAGGGGCGGGGCGTCCCGCTGACGCCACGGACCCCGAAGCGCTTGGGCTTCCAGAGGCGACTGAGCGCGGGGAGTATGGCGGTCGCCAGCGAGGCTCTGGGCCTCTTGGTCTCCGAGCTGTACGACGTGCAGGCTTTCAAGTTCGGGAGCTTTGTGCTGAAGAGCGGGCTCACCTCCCCAGTCTACATCGACCTGCGGGGCATCGTGTCCCGCCCGCGTCTTCTGAGTCGGGTACCAGCCCCGAGGGGCGGGATGGCTCCGGGTGGCGGGAAAGGAGAGCGGGAGATGGCGGCTGGGGGGGGGTGGTGGTGGTGGTGGTGGCCGGAGTCGGGGGATGAAAGAGAGCCACAGAGCAGGCAGGGAAGCCCACCGTCTTGCTGGTCTGGAGAGCCTGTGGAAGGAGCACGGAGGCCGGCAGCAGTCGGTTCGGGCTCTTTGGGACCTCGTCCTTGACCGACCCGTGTCGACACGTGCGTTGCAGGAGTCGGGGAATGTGGAGAAGTCCTTGAGTGAGGTCTGTGTCCTTAACCCCCAGAAAGTGAGACTTAGGGAAGGAAAAGGCGGGAGGGTGGAGGAATCGTCGTTGGTCAACCGGCTCAATTGAGTTGTGTATGGCCAGTAGCAAGACATTAAAGCCATATGGTGGACGCCAGGAAGGAAGGTTTCTTTTTCTGGGTAATTGGGGGTAAACTATACCCGTTAGAGGTTTCTAACCCGGTGCTTCCCAAACCTTGGTTGGGTTGTATATGAATCGCCACAACGTCGGCCGTGAGAAAGTGCATTTCTAGCATAACAAGCTGCCAGCACAAACTGCAGATGTCACTTTGAGTAAAAGAGTGGAAATGCTCGAAGTGTTGCTACCAACTCCGGGTGCACGTTGAGCACTGTGAAGTTTTTATTACATGTATTTAGTGTGCGTGCGTGCGTGCGTGCATATATATGCGGGCGTGCATGTCCCGGGGCACACTTGGGAAGGTCAGAGACAACCTTCAAGAGTGTGTTCTCTCCTTCCGTCATGAGGATTGAAGGGAATGAATTCAGGTGGTCGTCATGAGGATCGAAGGGAATGAATTCAGGTGGTCGGACTAGGTAGAAAACAGCTTTACTAGAGGAGTTCGTTTGCCTGCCAGAATTGTTGAAATAGCACTGGGGAGCTAGAGGCAGGAGTTAAAGGTCACCTCAGTCCGCTGTGTAGTTGGTTTGAGGTCAGCCTGGACTACGCCAGAACCTCTTTCAAAAGCAAACAGACTAGCCAAATAGTAATAAGTTACTAGTGGCGCTAGCCTGTTGGCTATTATAACTAACTGTAGAATATTTCACCATCACAAAGTTCTGTCAAGAAGACATACGTAGTCAGGCACGGTGGTGCATGCCTGTAATTCATGCGTTCGGGAAGTTGAAGCAGAATTGTGAATTTGAGGTCAGTCTGGGTTATCCTGAAAGATCCTGTTTCCAAAAAACAATCCCAATCCCCCCACCCCCGAATGTACTCTTAAGTTCCTGTCCCACACATGGAAGGTTTGTTTTGTGGGGGTTTTTGGTTTGTTTTGTTTTGTTTTTGGAGACAGGGTTTCTCTGTATAGCTTTGGAGCCTGTCCTGGATCTCACTCTGTAGACCAGGCTGGCCTTGAACTCACAGAGATCCTCCTGGCTCTGCCTCCCGAGTGCTGGGATTTAAGGTGTGTGCTACCACCGCCCGGCGGTTTGTTTCTTGAAAACAACAAAATTTTTTTTTCCTGATTATTGTAGATAGACTGAAGCCCTGATTGAGCTGGCTTTTCACCGTCCTGACTCTTGCTATGGTCAGGAATCTTGAAATAGTGTCTCATCAGTGTAGAGAAACTGTATTACCCAGAACTTTCTAATGAGCATTTTAGCTTTAAAAGAGGTTTATGTGAATAGGTGCTCTCGGTATATACACCCACCCCCCCAAAGTAATAGATTATATGCTTACTTCTAACTTCCTAGTAAATTGATGTGTGTACAGACAGTTGGAGGGAACCGATAGTATTTATCTCACTGAAAAAAGAATTCCCCAAATCTCTTCTTATACTCTATGATTGCAGGTTTATGTTTTAGGTATGTGCCCAGGCAAATGATAGTGCAAGAAAATCTCTAGCAGACTTAAGATCATGAATTTTTTTTTAATTTGGTAGTCTTACAATTCAATATTTCAATTAATATACATCTCAGTTTAGATTCATGTAAAGAAGCATGACAGATCAGTAAAAAGCCCACAGGAAGAAATATGTATTGCAGTGTAATAATTCTGTGGACATAGTGAAATTTGAAAAAAAAATACGTAGTCTATCTAGCGTTTGTGTGTATGCCTGTATGTTACTGGGGATTGGTCCCCAGCTATGAGTATTGGTCCCCAGGCAAAGTGCTCTATCACTGGACTGCTATCTTCTTCCCATGTTCATTACAGATAATGATATTAAAGTTATGGATATGTTCTTGATTTCAGTACTAGAAATTGCAAACTTTACAACTTAAAAATAGTCACAGACTTTTAAAAGCACTGAAGTAGGAAGCTAGGCATGGGGTGGTACATGCACATAAAGTCAGCATGAGGGAGGTTGAGGCCAGTATTGAGAGTCTCCAAAACAAACAACTCCCCCTCCCCTTCAAGAGTAAGTAATAAGAAGAAAATATTTTCAAAAGCTAATTTGGGCCGGGCTGCGCTGCAGTGGCACAAGCCTTTAATCCCAGCACTCAGAAGGCAGAGCCAGGAGGATTTCTGTGAGTTCGAGGCCAGCCTGGTCTACAGAGCAAGATCCGGGACAGGCACCAAAACTATACGGAGAAACCCTGTCTCGAAAAACAAAAAACCAAACAAACAAAAAAGCTAACTTGGTTTATGAATGACTCTTAAGATAGTGTTGGATGGGAGTATGCATTCTAACATTAAAATATGGTTGATTTGGCCTGGCGTAGTGGCACATGTCTTTAACCCCAGTGCTTTGGGAGACAGAGGCAGGTGGATCTCTTGAGTTGGAGGCTAGCCTGTTCTACAGAGTGAGTTTCAGCTGGGCAGTGGTGATAGACGCCTTTAACCCCAGCACTCGGGAGGCAGAGGCAGGTGGATCTCTGTGAGTTGGAGGCCAGCCTGGTCTACAAAGTGAGTTCCAGGATAGGCTCCAAAGCTACACAGAGAAACCCTGTCTTGGACCCCCTCCTCCCCCCCAAAAAATGAATGATTTATATAGAAAAGATAAAATGTATTTCACACAATAGGCTCTATACTTAGAGAAGTGTTCACCGAGGACTTCTTGCAGAAATAGAACCAACCATCCTTCTAGAGAGTCAAGGCATAATGGGAGTCTAGGAGGCATCCTTGGTCTTCAGGGTGGATCATGCTTCCTGACATTTCATGATGCCCTCAGAGTAGGTCCTGAATCTAGCTGAACTGGTCCATGCTTATGTTTGCATGCCAGGTTTCAAGATTGTTGTGATAGATCTAAGTTGGTTGCTTAATATTTTCTCTCCTGAGCTTAGATACTCAAAAAGTGAATTGTTATAAATAATCTATTTATATCTTAGAATTTAATGAAAATCTCCCTCGGGTTTATTTCCATCTCATGCCATTGCATGACTCAAATGCCATTCTGAGTAGTTGTAATAATGGAAGTTTATGTGTTCCTTTTCTTACAGGTCGCAGACATTTTATTCCAAACTGCAAAAAATGCTGAGATCAGTTTTGACAGTGTGTGTGGAGTTCCTTATACAGCGTTGCCACTAGCTACAGTTATCTGTTCAACCAATCACATTCCCATGCTCATTAGAAGGAAGGAAACAAAGGATTATGGTAAAGTGAAAATAGCATAAGCCTCAAGTTAACCTGTTAGGATTTTGTTCTTTCAGGCCCTGATGTTTACTAGAGCTGTTGAGTGCTCCTCAGAGGCCTGATAAGCTGTTGAGTTGTTGACTTGCTCCAGAAGACCTTCCTGGAGAGTTTGGGTCTGAAATGCTTTGTGTTGACCGGGGAGTAGAAAGAGAGTGCTTGGTGAACCCCGACCTTTGTATTGGCCCTCCTTCACCAGCAGAATGTTGTAAGAGCGCAGAACCCCGACCTTTGTGTTGGCCCTCCCTCCACCAGCAGAATGTTGTAAGAGCACGTACTTCTAGTATATTTACATTTAAATGCATGCAGTCCTGAAGAGGAAGAGTACTCTTAGGAAACTCAGAAGACACCATGGGAACATTTTTTTTGGTGGGGTCCATAACAATAGAGTATCAGGTAGTTTGCTCTAAAACCTCAAAATCAATCTAAAAGTATCAGGGCTGAGTTGATACTTAATGATATTCAAAAATTAATGGGGTTTTTGCTTGTTGATATTGATATGGTAATGCGTTGTTAGTTTTTTAAAGAGATCTTTGAAGATAAACTGCAATATCTGAGATTTGCTTCTAAAAGTTGTGAGAGTTCAGTCATACAGCCCAACAGGTAGAGGAGCCTGCAGCTAACTCTGACCTGAGTTTGGGTGCTGGGTTCCACATGGTGGGAGGAGAGCGCCTGCTACTGCAGGTTGCCCTTTGACCTCTACACACGTGCCCACACACATATAGATGTAACATCGTGAGGGGAAGGAACGAATAAGGATGTAGCTGTTGGCCATGGCTAAGTGCGGAGTTTCTGATTACACTATTGTGAAGCTAAAAATAATCTGCCCACGAGGAATGTAGTAGCTTCCTCATGTGTTCACAAAGGTTTACGAACTTCATTTATCAGAGTACCTGCAAGTACTCTGTCCTTTTTCAGGCTAAGATTTAGTTAAACTTACCATTCTTTAAGAAATGGGAATGGTGAAAGATGATCTCCTACAGTAAGGCTCAAAAAGAGTGAAAATGGCTATTTTGTTTCAAAATAATAGGCAGTAGAAAATACAAAATTGAGTCTCAAAAAATGAATAGGAAACAGAACCCGAGTTATACATTTTGTAGGTTATAGTGGGCCTTAAGGGTAGAGAGTCACAGTGTATAATTCATTGTGGTTATGGTGTCCAGGAAGCAGTGAACTGTTTCCCTTCTGAATTAAGTTTGAGTGTTTGCCTGCATGTATCTATGTGTACCACATGCATACAGTTGTGAGCAGCCATGCGGGTGCTGGGAACTGAACCAGCTTCTCTGTAAGAGCAGCCAGTGTTCTTAACTGCTGACCCATCTCCCTGGCCCTTGTTTTGTTTGTTTGAGGCGGGGTTTCACTATATATCTCTGGTTGGCCATGTGGCCTAGGCTGATTGTAAGGCTCTGTGCAGCCCTCCTGAGTACTAATAGGCATGTGCCACAACTGGCTTTAAATTGCCTTCAAAGAGGCAAATTTTTCAGTTGATCATGAGTGGTAAACTTATAATCAATATTGATGGGAAAGAATGATTTTATTGATACTGATTTATTCTGCTTTTCATTATAAGTGATCTTGCTTTAAAAAAAACCCTCATTTGTCCAGGAAAAAAAAAGTTTATTTACATTTAGTTTTACTGTATATAATTCTGTATATAATTGGCAATTTGGAGATAGAGGATACTGAACAAAACAATTGTGGCACATAGAAAAATCAACAGAAAGTAGCTTCAAAGTAAAGGATCATAAATAAGATTTAGAGAATCTTAACTCTTTGTAAGTACATAGTAAGCGTAGACTCAGGATATATCTTGAGGTAGCCGAAACATTTTATATATTTCTTTCAACAGAGACTTTTCTGTTCTAGGTACCAAGCGTCTTGTAGAAGGAGAGATTAATCCAGGGCAAACCTGTCTGATCATTGAGGATGTTGTCACCAGTGGGGCCAGTGTTTTGGAAACGGTTGAAGTTCTTCAGAAGGAGGGCCTGAAGGTGACTGATGCCATAGTGCTGTTAGACCGCGAGCAGGGAGGCAAGGACAAGCTGCAGGCTCAGGGGATCCGTCTTCATTCCGTGTGCACATTGTCCAAAATGCTGGCGATCCTCGAGCAGCAGAAAAAAATTGATGCCGAGATGGTCGGGAGAGTGAAGAGGTTCATCCAGGAGAATGTTTTCCCAGCAGCTCATCATAATGGTGTTTCCCCTCCTGAGAAGAAAGCATGCAAAGAACTGAGCTTTGGTGCACGAGCAGAGCTGCCCGGAGTCCACCCACTTGCCTCGAAACTCCTCAGGCTTATGCAGAAGAAGGAGAGCAATCTGTGTCTGTCTGCTGATGTCTCAGAGGCCAGAGAGCTGCTCCAGCTAGCAGACGCCTTGGGACCCAGCATCTGCATGCTCAAAACTCACGTCGATATTCTGAGTGATTTTACTCTGGATGTGATGGAGGAGTTGGTAGCTCTGGCAGAACGCCATGAGTTCTTAATATTTGAAGATAGGAAATTCGCTGATATCGGAAACACAGTGAAAAAGCAGTATGAAGGTAAGTGCGGTCAGAAATCCAGTGTAGTGGACTGATCACAGAGGAGAAGACGTCTCGGCTCCTAAGTGGGAGTCGTCAAGGGAACAAGCTGTCCGGTGCAGTCAAGTCCAGGCCCCGGAGTGACCCCTTCCACATTGTTTCTCTCCATCCCTAGGCTGCCGGCTCCATTCTGCTTTCTCTGTTGACTTGTTTCTCAGGCAGGGAATTTCAGTCTTACCTCTGGGTATAAACTCCCTTCATTAGCTGGGCAGCTAATGCCCTGCTCCTGCAAGTACAAAGTTCACATTTTAACCATTTTGACTGAGATCCCTGTCAATCCTCTCCCCCCTTTTTTTTTTTTCCATTTTTATGTATTTATTTTTCTATTATCAGCTTGATACAGTTTAAATTCTTATCCTAATAGTAAAATGTTTCATTGAGGCTTGCTCAGTAATTGAGTAAAACCAAAACTAAGCCACAGTCATCCTAGGGTCCCCCCTGCTATATAGCCTCCCAGGTTCTGTGGGTTGTTCTTTGCTTTATATCTAGAATCCGCTTATGAGTGAGTACATACCATGTTTGTCCTTCTGGGTTTGGGTTACCTCACTCAGGATGATTTTTTCTAGATCCATTCATTTGCCTGCAAATTTCATGCTGTCATTGTTTTTCTCTGCTGAGTAGTACTCCATTGTGTATATATACCACATTTTCTTAATCCATTCTTCAGTTGACAGGCATCTAGGTTATTTCCAGGTTCTGGCTATTACAAATAGTGCTGCTATGAACATTAAAAGAATGAGTTTGCTGCTCCTGTGGTGGTGGCGCACGCCTTGAATCTCAGCACTCAGGAGGTAGAGGCAGAAGAGTACGTGTGAGTTCTGGGCAGGCGAAACAAGATGTGTTGGCCCTGGCCAAAAATTGCCAATATAGGAAAGAAAGGATGGGAAAAAAATATTTTTAGCAGCATAATGTGTTAATACACATTTCTTTTTTTTAAAAGTTTTAATATCAGGTGAAGCAGCTTATAAGTGGCCTGGGTGGCGCACACCTTTAATCCCAGCACTCAGGAGGCAGAGACAGGCGGATCTCTGTGAGTTCAAAGCCAGCCTGGGCTACAGAGGGAGATCCAGGACAGGCACCAAAAAACTACACAGAGAAACCCAGTCCCTGTCTCGAAAAAAAGAAATAAGTGGCCTGGGAAATGCTTAGTCCTGTTCTGTTTTTTCACGAAGACTTCTGCTCTTAGAAACAGGCTGGCCGATGGTGGCACATCTTTCATCTCAGCACTCAGGAGGCAGGTGCATCTCTGTGAGTTCAAGGCCAGCCTGGTCTACAGAGTGAGTTCCAGGCCAGCCAGGACTACACAGAGAAACCCTGTCTTGAAAAACCAACAGCAACAAAAAGAAACAAGTGGCTATAGTAGGTACTGTGTAGTTCTGTTGCTTTTTCACTGTTTCTGTAGCCGCATGCCTGTCTCTAGTCTGTTTCTCTCAGGTAGAATTGTCTGTTACCTCGTGTGCTGACGATGTCCTACCATGACTACATTGCTTAGCTTAGTTGAGCTTACTGGCTGCAGTAAGAGTTATAGTTATATAGCCTTTCTTAGGCTTGTGTGTTGGTTTTTCAAGTCTGCATTTTTACTACCTGTTTAAAATGTAAACAGTTGGGCTGGAGAGAGGGCTCAAAGTCTTTTTTAAAAAATAAGATATGTGTGTTGCCTCTTAAGATTGGAAAAGCCAAGAAACCTGTAGAGGGTAAAGTTGCTGAGTGATCTCTATGGGGTGAAAATCTGTCGTCTTTAAGAGACTTTCAGGATGTCACCATGCTTGAGCTCCGGGAATGTCCCTCTTCATATGTCCCTCTGATGGCATAAGCTTCAATCTGCAAAAAAGTAACAGCTCGTCAGCATTCCTGATAAAGCAAGTGCAGCAAGAATTCTTCCTCTCGGGGAACCTCTCACCTAGCTACCAGGTGGATAGCTGACTGTTTTACAGATGGTACTATGGGTCCACTGATAAAGTTCTTAAATACTCACTCCTTGATTAACTTGTTGCTAGAACATTTCATATTGTAGTTGGTTGTGCAAAGGGTTATAGATTTGTTTGAAAATTAGCAAATATCTTTTGTGTTTATTTTCAAGACAGGGTTTCTTTAAGTTCTGGCTGTCCTGGAACTCGATTTGTAGACCAGGCTGGTCTTGAACTCTCAGAAATCCACCTGCCTCTGCCTCCTGAGTCTAGGATTAAAGGTATGCGCCACCACCGCCTGCCTAAAAAAATTTATCTAGCAACTGCTTGATTTTTGCCCTTTCAAACACAGCAAATATCTTTTTTTATTCCTTCTTAGGTGGCATCTTTAAAATAGCTTCCTGGGCAGATCTAGTAAATGCCCATGTGGTCCCAGGCTCAGGAGTTGTGAAAGGCTTGCAGGAAGTGGGCCTGCCTTTACATCGAGCGTGCCTACTCATCGCAGAGATGAGCTCTGCTGGGTCCTTGGCCACTGGAAACTACACCAAAGCAGCAGTAAGTGATGGTGTGCTGGGTGAGTGGGGACCGGAGTGTGCGTGCTGCATGTTCTAGCGCAAGAACAGACCTTCATGGAAGGTCTGGGAGCTGTGGCCTCAATTCAGCCATTATTCTGACAGTTTATTAGCACCAGTTGGATTGAACTCTTTGATCTTGTAGCAGGTGAAGGGTTTGAATTGTATCCAGATCATTCAGACATATCTACCTGTACTTGTCTTTTCCTCTTGAAAACTTCCCATGGTAAATTTTAGAGTTGGATAGTCACCTAGAAAGTAGATAATATTTATAGTTTAAGGAACACAAACACTTTAATTACGTGTATGGTGTTTTGCCTGCACATGTGATTGTGTAGAGTATGTTCCTGGTGCCAGCAGAAGCCAGTAGAGGGCATTGGACTCCCTGGAACTGAAGTGAGAGGTGGTTGTGAGCCACCATGTGGGTGCTGAGAATGGAATGTGGGTCCTCTAGAAGAGCAGCAACCAGTGCTCTTAACTGCTGAGTCATCGATCCAGCCACCTGTGGTCAATTTAAACACCACCCTGAATGGACCAGAAGTACTGGCTTCGAGTGAGGGCTGGCTCAAGGACAGGCTGTCCCTTACTGGTGGTAATAGCTGGAGGCCAAGCTGACATTGTGAGAGTCTGGGCAGTGACCAGTCAGAGAGCCAGGCCTGCTGTAGCTGGGAGGAAATAGTAAAGACCAGCTGCTGAAGAGGGAAATGCTGAAGAGCTTCGCTTCAATAGCTTCCTCCATCTTCAAGAGCTGTCAGGGGACACACCTCGTATCTTCCTTGGAAGCGAGTGAGGCATTAGGCATTGTCACAAGTAGGAATTAGACAGCATCTTGTTTGATGCGCGTACTGTAGGAGTTCTTTTCAAGCATGGCTTGTTGGAGGAAGGGCCTTCTCAGGACCTTAGTGGAGGCATGTGTGTTTCATCATCTGGCTGATTTTTCTGTGTTGGTGTTTTTGTAATACTGCCTATTTCATGTAGGTTGGGATGGCTGAGGAGCACTCTGGATTTGTGATTGGCTTTATTTCCGGCTCCCGAGTAAGCATGAAACCAGAGTTTCTTCACTTGACCCCAGGAGTTCAATTGGAAACAGGAGGTAAGAGTCTTACTAGTTATGGCTCTTGTAAATCTGCTTCTTTCCCCTGTGAGGCAGAGTAGAACACTCTAGGACAATGAACGAGCCCTTTAGCCTGTACTGTATTTGTAAGACAGCTTACTTGCAGTTTCATTTTAGAAAGCTGCTTGGCTTTGTCCAGAGACAGGGCCTGGGCCCTAGAACTTGAAGAGATCCACCTGACTCTGCCTCCAAGTGCTGGGACTAAAGGCATGTGCCATCCTGCTGGCCAAAACCTGACATTCCTAGTTGGAGCTCTGAGTATGCCACCCATTCTGTGTTCCAGCAGATCTGGGAAACCCTTGGACAGTTGTCAGCGACTTTGACGTGCCAGGGCCTGGCTATGGTTCCTAAACTCGCAACAGTCTCAAATTCGGGTGTTAAGACAGGCACAGGTAAGGGCTGGATGTAGTTTTAAATAGCGTGTGTGCTTAGTTTCCAGCACCTCACCTCTGCCTGCCAACGAAAGTGTGACTGTACTGTAGGACTCAGTATACAGGTTTAGCTTGGAAGGAGGTAGAGGAGATTGGTTATTACTCAGGTGTAGCTCAGCTGGTAGTGCTTGCCTAGCTCGCACAAGTTCTGGGGTTCATCTACATCACCCCATTACTGGGTTGTTTGTTTCCTAGTTGCACATGGAACTTGACGTCAAAACCTGTTTTAAGTGCATGTAGTTTACAACCGGAGAACACCCTTGTGTATTTTTATGTCTATGGAGTATTTCTAGGAATCCCTTCTAGATCAGAAGCTCTTTTTGAAGGACTCAGGCTCCTCAGCTAGCCCTATCCAGGTGATAGATTGAGGGGGTGGAAAATACGCAGGATGTGTGTCAATGTTTAAAGTGCTGATTTTTCAAGCACTGAACTGTTAGGATTATTTTATATATCATTTGCCATATTAGGGAAAAGCACTGCCTTTTTGAGCTGCTTTAAACAATCTCATTATAGAAAGTAGAGTCAGGCCGGGCGGTGGTGGCGCACGCCTTTAATCCCAGCACTTGGGAGGCAGAGCCAGGCGGATCTCTGTGAGTTCGAGGCCAGCCTGGGCTACCAAGTGAGTTCCAGGAGAGGCGCAAAGCTACACAGAGAAACCCTGTCTCGAAAACCAAAAAAAAAAGAAAGAAAAAGAAAGTAGAGTCAGAAGAAAACTAGTGAATGCCGATACACACACGGTACATCTGTGGAGGAGATAGACCTCTGCAGAGGAAGTGGCCTTGGAAGTCATCAGAAACTCTTAGAATTTTATAAACTGCATTTGTAAACAGTGGCAAAGATTTGCATTCTCAGCCCTTCCGTTCTGTTATTGTGTATCTTTATATAAGCCACTAACCTTTTTTGTTTGTTTTAGACAGGATCTCTATTTAGTCCTGGCTGTCCTGCAACTCAGAGATACTCCTGCCTCCCAAGTGCTGGGACTAAAGGTGTGCACCACCACACGCGGCTTTTTTTTCTCATGTAGTGTAGGCTGGCCTTGAACTCCTGAGTAAATATGCCACCATTCTGAGCTGACTAAATTGGGGCCTTGTACATACTAGGCAGGCTTCTAACACTAAGGTCCAGCCCCAGCACTAAACTACTTTTTAATTAAATGCATAATTTTACTTATTTTCTTGTCACACAGTTTTACTTCAGGCAACAACTGAAGTATCACTTAATAGGGAACAGCACCCGTTGAGGGAAACATAGTAAAGCCAGAATAAACTACTTTTAATCTCATCTTGATCTGTGGAGGGAGGGATTATAGTCCTGACCTTGAAATAGTGGGGAGGCATTGAGAGGGCACGAACAATGTCTCTTTAGCACAGTGCCTCACAAAGCCCCTGCAATTCTTTGACAAGGTAGCACATTGGAGCCCAGGCTTTTAGGAATTGAAAGCATCAAAACACACTTAACATTTCTGGAACAACAGAAATGAATAAAATGCAGTCATCAGGGATTAGGGTCTATCCAGGGATGGTGGCAAATGCCTTTAATACCAGCACTAGGAGGTCTGAGAACTTGGTGGGATTGTAGCAGAAAGGGTTATGAATACTAAGGTGTATGATAGGAAATGCTGTCTGGATTTACCTTAATACCTTGGACTGATCCAGGGAGTCCTGTTACCCCCCATGTTGCTCACAGACTTCCTGAGTTTGCATTATGTTAAATAGCTTTTGCTTCTCTACAGGGGATCACCTCGGCCAACAGTACAATAGTCCTCAAGAAGTGATTGGCAAACGGGGTTCTGATGTCATCATTGTAGGCCGGGGAATCCTTGCAGCATCTAACCGCCTGGAAGCAGCTGAGATGTACAGAAAAGCTGCCTGGGAAGCTTATTTGAGTAGGCTTGCTGTTTAACGAGAAGACACATGCCCCACAAGTCACTGGCTTCAAAGCAGCAATACCCTGCAGTGCTCGGTCCTGCACCGAGTGATTAAGGGACAGACTCTGGAGCCCTGGTGTCCTGAACATGTAACCACTGCATTGGTACTGTAACGAACTCTTTTTAAAGCTTGCTTTCATTGGTGTTTGTTCAGCAGCCACCACCTTTCTGAGTCCCTTCGTCTCAGTCACATCCAACGCTTGCTAGCCACCTACCTCCTTCAGTGCCATGAAGCTGGATGGACCCTTGAACAGAGCAGGAGTTCTGGTTCATTCTCCTCAGTGATCAGTGTAGAAAGTCACAGCTTCCTCCCGCTTCGTGTGGACGGCAGCCTGCTGCATGTAAGAACACAGTGATACCAGCTCCGCACTCATTCCTGTGTCTGCCCATAATGATGGCTCAGCGGTTAAGACACGGCTGCTCTTCTAGAGGACAGCACTTGCTTCCCAGCACCCACATGGTGACCCACAACCAGCTGTGACTCCAGTTCCTCTTCTAACTTCCTCAGGCTACAGCTCCACCTAAAATACATGTGAACTTTTTTTAATCTTTACCAGTGCTTTAAAAGGGAGAATTTTAGTGCAGAAGTCTCTGCCCACTGCAAGTGGAATTCACATTCCCCCTCAAACTTGAGCCATTTTCCCCTTTGGTTCACGTTCTTTCCAAGCAACCTTCACACACCTGCCTGCAGTGCTTTGTTCTTACTGCTGCCGAAGGAAAGCGCCTTTAGCAGTCGGCAGATAGCTGTATGTAAATAGTCCAGCCTTGAGAAGACCGGTGTGCATCACATGGAGTGGTCAGTCGGCAGATAGCTGTATGTAAATAGTCCAGCCTTGAGAAGACCGGTGTGCATCACATGGAGTGGTCTGAGTGCGTCTATATGCTAACCATGTAGCCTGCTACCTTTTTTTTTAAAAAAATTTATTATGTATACAGGGCTCTGCCTGCATGTGTGCCTGCAGGCCAGAAGAGGGCACCAGATCTCAGTATAGATTGTTGTGAGCCACCATGTGGTCACTGGGAATTGAACTCAGGACTTCCAGAAGAGCAGGCAGCGCTCTTAACCCCTAAGCCATCTCTCCAGCCTGCTAACTTCCTGTCAGTACAGCACCCTGTAGTCTACACATCTATAAAAAGATTAGCAGCTGTCCCTTACTCAGCAAGCATGCATCCTCTAGTAGTAGTAGAATCCAGGCAGTTAAAGCGAGTGCTTGAGAAGTCTGATAGCAGCAGCATCCCATCAGATAAAGATAGAGCCATGGGTCTTAGGGTGGATTTGTACTGATGGCTGAGAAATGTTGTCAATATCTAAGAAAACATCCCTTCTAGGCGTTAGCTTAGCCTTAGTCTCCAATGGCTGTGTGGCTCCAGGAGTCCAAAGGGACTCTTTCAGTTTTAAGGTGCAAACCTAAATTGAGACCCTGAGATTTCAAGTCCACACATACACATGGTTCCAGAGCCATCTTCCAGTTAATTTCTAGGAAACCAGGTCTTCAGGGAAGGGGTCAGAAGGGAAAATCTGTATTAACATAATGCATTAAAGCCCTGCACTATTAATTCACATCAGCCTTTTGGGAAATAGGAAGCATAAGGTCCTCTTGAGGACACAGACTTCCTAGATTGATCCTGATCCACCCATTAAACTAACTACAGTACCTTTGGCCAAGTCAGTCCATCTTAAAATTCAGTTAAAATGCTGTCAGTTTTTCCAGATGACGCAGCATGGCCATGTCACTCCAACACCCTGTTTAATGGTTACATAATTTACCTAAGAAAATGCTTTGTCACTGGAGATGTCTCCATGTTTATTCCATAAAGATGTTCCCCAGTGGCCTCTTGCTTGGTATATAAGCAAAAACTGTGGACTGTTAGGAGACTGGTCTTTGCCCCTTTCTCCTCGTCCAATAAACCTCCCACGCAAGCCCTGATTTTTTTTTTTTTTATACAACATTTTGCCTTTATGTATGCCTGCAGGCCAGAAGAGGGCACCAGATCTCATTACAGATGGCTGTGAGCCACCACGTGGTTGCTGGGATTGAACTCAGGACCTCTGGAACAGCAGGCAGTGTTCTCTAAGCCATCTCTCCAGCCCCTCTTCCTGCCTCTTTCGAACTATAACACAAGTGGTCCATCAATGTGCCAGTTTTCAGTGTGACACAGACAGTTGGGAAGAGGGTGTTTTGTTTTTTTGAGACAAGATTTCTCTGTAACAGCCCTGGCTGTCCTGGAACTCACACTGTAGACCAGGCTGGCCTTGAACTCAAGAGATCCACCTGCCTCTGCCTCCTAAGTGTAACACAATTGCTAAATGATCTTATTAATAACCCAGAACTAGATATTGGGGTAAAAGCTGAAAGATCAGAGAGTCACAGAGCAAACCACTAGTTCTTACTCCTACGAAATCATCCACCGAAAGAGACTTCCTGTTTACTCATGCCTTAAATACCTTTCTGTGTCTTGCCATCTCTCTTACTTCCTAGTGCTGGAATTAAAGGCGTGCGCCACCACTGCCCAGCTCCATTAGTATATTTACCAAATATGAAATGTGAGTGTAACTCATTCATCTGTTTACAAATAAATACAAGCACAGATGAGGGCAGCCTCACTTTCTTGGTGGAGCTGCGCTCAGGTGCATATTTACAGTTCATGCTGTGCTGTGTGTGTATCGGTTTCACCGCAGTGAAGAGGAGCCACACCCATCCTCTCCCACTGCATCTCTGCCCAAACAGAATGTGAAACAGCAGACTGGTCAGGAGCCTGCTGAGGGAGTGCATCCCATCACCGGGTTTTCGGATTAGTCAAGGCATTTTAGACTTCCTCAGTGAAAGCTGTCAACAGCTGTTTCCTTTTTCAGAATAATTGTCTATGTAGCCTTTTCCAATCATCAACATTGGGAATCGACCCTAGTCAAAATCATGTCTTCTAGTTACCTTCTATCACAGTAAAATCAGGATGATTAAGGAACAAGTTCCAGTATTTTAACCTCAAAATGCTCCATAAATTCCAAAAGTAGCCATCACTTAATCCAATATCCACTACTCAACACCTCAGGAGAGGGGTTCCCCAAACCACAACAAGGTCCTTTACAGATCTCAGTGCTTTTAGGCTCTGTTCACTAACAATTCATGCCTAAATTATTAGAGCAGTTAGTCTTTGGAGTTTCGGGGAAGCCACTGTGCAATAATCTGAAAACACTGAAAAGCTGCAACATGCAAGGCTGAGCTCCTTCACCTCTCTACAGGCAGCCTTGGACGGAGTCCTGGGTTCCCAAGCCTTCAACCAGCTCTTCTCACAGGACAGATCTCCATGCCGGGAGAGGAATGTGACAGCCGTGCTCTGTCCTTCCGAGGGTCCATTAAGAGCCATCCATTCCCGGGATATCTTCACCCTAACCATTTGACTCATTGCAGCCACTAGGCAGAGTCCGGGGCCCCTGGCCTTTGAAATCTGTATTAGAAGAGTCTGATTTCAGGCCTGCTAAGACAGTGTAAGACAAAGGGCAGGGCAAAGCTGTTGTTACACAGACATCTGCTGCTTCACTGTGGAAGCGCCAAGGCTTCAGCTCCCTCTCCTGGTGCAGACAAGAGCTTTCCTCCAGAGAAGCCTGTTCCTTCAGCCAAGACAGGTCTCCGTTCCTTCAGCCAAGACAGGTCTCCAGAACTGAGGAGACCCCGGGGCTCTTAACTACATGACTGAGTGCAGGGCTGAGGTTTCCTAACACCAATCCAGCAGACAAGGTTCTTCCATGCTAGACAAAAATACTTTCCCATCGTGCTAAGATTTTAACCAAGGCTCAAGGCCCAAGTGCTCAACTTTTAAAAATAACTTTTAGCAACCTGTGTGCTAAAAGATGCATCCCACTTTCTGAAAAGTCTTTATGTCTCACTATGGTCTCTGCAACCCATGGTGCTGTTAGGGCTCACCCCATTTCTAAACACATTAATAGAGGTGTAAGCTCTGAGAGTTCTTTTTGTTGGAGTCAGGGTTTCTCTGTGTAGTCCTGGCTGTCTGTGTCTTGAACTCACTCTGTAGACCAAGCTGGCTTCAAACTCAGAATCTGTCTGCCTCTGCCTCCCAAGTGCTGGGAGTAAAGGCGTGTGCCATTGCACTCAGTGTGGGGTTCTTAAGAATTTGTGTTTATGTGTAACATAAATCGGGTGCAGTTCTAAATGGAGGGAAGTTTCTGACCTTTCTATTTAGCCAAGACAGCCAAAGTTATAGACCCCTCTCAGCACTAACTAGGTATGGCCCCAGGCTGTGTGCTCTCACAGCACAATCCAGTCTCGGACAGAAAGTCTCGGGTTCCAGAAAGGAGAATCCTAGATTCCCTGGACTCAGGCCCTCCATCTAAAACCTGACCAGCCCACTGAGTCCAGTGCAGTTTTATCTGACAGAGAGGCCTCTTCAGGACCAAGGCCTGTTCCTACTGAAGCCAGTGACGCCGAGGCCTCCCTTTCAGGACCCAGGCCTCTTTCTGTCAGGACTTCCATAGCCCAGACCAAAACGGCTGAAACTTGCCTTATATCCAAATCCACAGAGCTTTGGAAACTAAAACATCTTCCCAGGATTCCCAGCTGCAGCCAGAAGCCAACAGAGTTCCATCTGACAGCCAAGGGCGCATGTTCTTACAGGTGCAACCAATAGAGCTCTAACCCACACAGAAGCAGATCCCAGGGAAGAACTGATGGTTACAGGTTGGCCCGTTTCTGGCTTAACTAGTTCACTGCTGCAGGGAAGCCCAGGTACTGTGATTTCACTGCCTACAGCCAGTGTAGGGTCAGAGCCAAACCACGGCATCCCATACATAAAACACTAACTATAAAAAGAAAAGTGCTCAGCAAAAACCGATGTTCATGATTCTGGGCTTCTGCTGTGGTGGAAGTGAGGACCCTGCCTCCTTTCCTCATTCTAATCCAAATATTCTGGTTCTCATTGAGGTCTGAAGACCATTTGGCTCTTCCCTGGTCTCTCTCTCTCTCTCTCTCTCTCTCTCTCTCTCTCTCTCTCTCTCTCTCTCTCTCTCTCACACACACACACACACACACACACACACACACACATGCACGCACGCGACTTGTTTCTTTGACCTATTCAGCACACATCTTGGAAGGTAGAGAGTCAAGGGTGTGGGTCACATGACTCCACATTCAAAACGGCACCTGAGCAGACCAGGGTGCCAGTTATGTGTCAGGCTGTCCCTGTCCTGATGCCACCAGTGTTTGCACATCTGGAAACAGCCGAGTCACTTGCCATTTCCACATCAGCTAGACCATCTGCACACATGGGAGGAAAGCTTGGCATTTCAATCAGACATACAAAACCTAAAAGCTAAAAACAACAAACCCCCTCACAGGGTCTGTCTGTTACTGTAACACACTCTGAACCCCTTGCGGGTAACTGGAGAGAAAATCAGGGCTGTGAGCCCCTCACCTCACCGAAATGTCTCCTGTGCCGTGCACCATAGATTCTGCTCAGGCAGTATGGGGTGAGGCCTAAGCAAACGAATTTCTAATGGGTGCCACAGGGGATCTGGACATTTCTTAAAGGTGGGCCTAGGCTAAAGGCCTCTTCTCTAAGCAAAAGCTAAATAGCATGGGGTCATGAAAACAGTACAACTGACTGACCCATACAAAATTACCAGTCCTAGTGGGGAAACAGGACCAATACCAACAGAGTGCCCGGAATAGTGTAAGACTGACCCAGGATTCCGACATATTCAGGGCATACGGTAGCAACAGGTAGAAGCCTGTTAGTAGGTGTTTGGTGTGGAAGAGTCTAGGAAACCTTCAGCGCCCCCCCCCACCCCCACACCCTTTGTTAAGAGCTGGAGTCTGCTCAGCCTCAGAGCCAACCCTAGCCCAGCTTTACCCTTACCTATGCTGATGTGAGTCGGTCCTGCCCTCCAGGGAAAACTCCAGACAGTAGCCATGTTGAAGACCATGGCCTGTGGATGTCCACAGCTCCTCTTCTGGTTAAAATGGCTGCCTGCCAGGATCCACGAGACCTAAACTCTTTGGCCACAGGCTCTGTCGGAGCTCTCAGAAGCACAGGAGGTGTAGCGCATGTCTCCTCCTCAAGCTGGGTGGAGTGTAGACTAACAGAAGGCATGCACCTGAGACTGAGTGAGGAGGGTGGGCCCTCTCGGGACCACCTGCATCTCCTTGGCTCTCCAGGAGCAGAGCTGTCTGAGGCAGCTGGTCAGCACCCTGGTGTGCACACTGCATCCGTAGGTGGTCCATGCGATTGCCTTTACACAAGATCCTAGGGAGGGCACTGGTCACGGGCCCAACCCTCCATTTTGTCCTTCTCCGGCGCTCTCTTGTCTCTCTCTTTTTTCTTTTATTTTTCTTTCTTTATTTTTGAGACAGGGTTTCTCTATGTAGCTCTGGTTGTCCTGGAACTCACTCTGTAGGCCAAGCTGGCCTCAGTCTCAGAGATCCACCTGCCTCTGCCTCCTGAGTGCTGGGATTAAAGGCGTGCGCCACCACCCAGCTGACTTTTCCCCCCTAAATCATTCTCTTCTGAATTTACCTTGGCTTCCAGGGATAATAGGATGAACTGTTTCTTGTAGTAGCCATCTTTGACAAAGGGCCAAAATTAACTGTGAGCAGTGAGCCTGATGTGTTGGAGAATATTATTTTAAGGTGTGTTACTTTTGTTTATGTTGCATTTGTTTAACTCTGTGAAGCTGTGTTACTGTGCCTGTGTAAAACAACTGATGATCTAATAAAGAACTGAACAGTCAATAACAAGGCAAGAGAGAGAGAGACAGGCGGGGCTGGCAGGCCAAAAAGAGAGGATAAATAGGGGGAGGAATCTGGAAATAGGAGGAGGATGACAACTCCAGGGGTTAGCCATCCAGCTACACAGTAAGCCACAGAGTAAGAGTAAGATTTACAGAAGTAAGAGAATGGGGAAAGCCCAGAGGCAAAAGATTGATGGGGCTAATTTAAAGTTAAGGAAAAGCCAAGCTAAGGCTGGGCATTCATAATGAAGAATAAGCCTCCATGTGTGATTTATTTGGGAGCTGGGTAGTGGGCCCCCCAAAAAGAGAAAAAGCCCTTAACAACGCTAATGGGATGTGTCACCCCACAGAGAGATCAGTCCACTTAAGAACAGGAGCGATCCTCTTGGGGAAACCAGACTGCTTGCTCCCCTCGGGATGAGCATGATAAAAACTTCTCCAGTACCCCCTGAGAACCAGAGCTGACATAGTTATCAGTCAGACCCCCTAGCCTGATCAAGACCACCTGCTCTTTAGGCTGTGCCTATTCCAACCATGCCTAGGCTTCCCCCTCAGAGAAAAAAAATGTCAAAGTGCCTGTCAGCTCTTGGAGGACAGATTTGGGGGTCACTGAACCCTCTAAGTAAGGCTCCTTCCTCTGACAAGGCATAGTGTCTCACACCTATAATCCTAGAACTCCTGAGTTGCAGGAAGGAAGATCAGGAGTGCTACATAGAACGACCCTGTCCACAGAAAACGGTGCAGGCATGGCAGCTCACACCTGTAATCCAGCACTCAAGAGGCTTCATCAGGAGGATTTGCTGCAAATGTGAGACCAGCGTGGGCTACACAGTGAACTCCAAGCCAGCCAGGGCTACATAGTAAGACCCTGTCTCAAACAAAAACCAAAGAAGTTCCTCT